TTGAAGTCCACTACATCTTCAAGCGGCCAAGGTTGAGAAACACTGCATTAGAGGATCTGTGGCCACGGTCCCTTACGATCTGCGTTTCCATTTATCTCACCTCATTTTTCCATCTGCTCTTCCTCCTTTTATCTGTTTCCCAGGTTTACAGTGAAGTCAGCTTTTAGCAAAGCCTCTAGTTACAGATTCTTCATTCAGGCTTAAATGAGCCATTTGATGGATAAATGAGCACAATGAAATTCTAGGACCCACCTCAGCCTTCTTAATAGCAATGTTAGATGGCAATGCCCGTATGGATGGGAGAATAGATTTCTTTGACAAAATGCTTCTGTAGAAATGAATGCTAGCCCAGGAGCAATTTCATAAGATGACCGTTTGGAGAATAGGTTAGCTGCGTGAGAAATATGCACAGGGACTCAAGATGTTTGCAACGTTGCAGTTGAGAACGATAGATCTTCATGGGTGTTTCAGCAGAGGAGTGGAAGGGGTCGCTCTACTAATCCCATTATCAGGAGAGCGTGCAAAAGAATGAGAGGGAAATCATGTCATGCTACTGAAGAAACTTGGTGTGGTCACTGTTCCTCAATGCATGCAATCTTCCGTATAAATTGCTGTTTTCTCTAAGAAATGTAGACAGCGGATCCATTTTCAATAGTCTGGGACAAAAGCTGATGAAGACTATTCATTTTCCTTTGGAGATTCCAAATTAGAAGAATTTGGCTGCTCTTGGATGTCAGCCGCAAAACCAGAAATGTGGAGTTCTCCAGGCTACCTAGGAAATGCTGGTTTCTTCCTGCGTGCAAATGAAGGAAGTTTTGGGATTCTGATCATTTTTACGTCTCAACCAAGCTTCTCCTTCCACCTGACGCAAGGAGGCTCCACAGAACTCCGGCTTCCCTTTTCATCGGCCAATTTCTCACATCGTGTTGTGGTACTGAAGCTTTTAGCTCATGTGCCGCTCTGCAACACCCTGTATTCCGTAAGTGCCCCAGAGAAACAATTTTATTGCAGGTTTTAAAAATAAGATGAAAAAAAAATCAAGGGGACGCAGCAATTCTGCATGTCCTTGGTCTTCTGACCACTGTGGTTTCTGCTCTTTAGATGAGGTGCTTTAGATCAGGTGGCTGGTAGCAAGAGGCAGGCTGTGGAATTGGGTTTCTCTAAGCATAGAGGGAAGGAAATGTTTTCAGCCCTGAAGCTGAACTGCTGCTAGACCAGGGTTTCTCCACCTTGGCAACTTTAAGACGTGTGGACTTCAACTCCCAGAATTCCCCAG